CAGGATCTTACTACCTGTATCTTTGTTTTCTCAGCCCCATATTTGTTAAAAGATCTGAAGAGAGAGGAGAATAAGTATAACTCTACAGATTTCTCAATGCCAGGCATGGAAAAGAAGATGAATGAGAAAGTGTGGGGGTCGGAGACTCCCGGAGCCAGCGTCCGGCCTGGACATCTTCGGGGACCTGAGAAAGGTGAACAAGCGCCAGCTCTATTACCAGGTTTTAAACTTGGCCATGATCGTGTCTTCCGCACTCATAACCTGGAAAGGCTTGATCGTCCTCACCGGCAGCGAGAGCCCCATCGTGGTGGTGGTGCTGAGTGGCAGCACGGAGCCAGCCTTTCACAGGGGAGACCTCCTGTTCCTCACAAAAGACCTGATCAGAGCCGGGGAAATCGCTGTTTTTAAAGTGGAAGGACGAGACATTCCAATAGTTCACAGAGTAATCAAAGTTCACGAAAAAGATAATGGAGACATCAAATTTCTGACTAAAGGAGATAATAATGAAGTTGACGACAGAGGATTGCACAAAGAAAGCCAGAACTGACTCGAGAAGAAGGATGTGGTGGGAAGAGCAAGAGGGTTTTTGCCGTATGTTGGCTTGGTCACCATAATAATGAATGACTATCCAAAGTTCAAGTGCGCCCTTCTGGCTGTGATGGGTGCATGTGTGTTACTAAAACGTGAATCCTAAAATGAGACATGGTTCCTGGGACCAGACTGAGATGAAGTGTGTTGAAAAAGAGAAAAACTAATATATTTGAAATGTCCCTGTATAAAAGGAAACAGTGTGGAGACGTTTTTGTCTTGTCCAAATAAATGATTCATCAGTAAAAAAAAAAAAAAAAAAGTGTGGGGAAGTGTGGGGTGAAAGAATTCCATATTTCTAAACTGGACGTTTGCATACAGCAGTGGTTTACTGGATTTAAAACTGCATTTGCAATTATTAGATATAAAATTACTTAAGGAGTTTGTTAAAAATGAAGATGCCTAGTACAATACTTTCAGGTATTTTGATTTAGTGGGGGGTGAGGTAGGCCTAGAACCTCTTCAATTTAAAGAATGCCAGATATTCTCATGAAAAAGGTCCTCAAAACACACCTTGAGAGCCACTGGCAAAAAGAATATAGTTGCAGGATGGGTCCTTATGGTAACAGTTCTTAAATCAGGTTCTTCCAAATCCCTTCCTGGAGATGGTGAGGGACAAGGGAGATGCTATGAAATGCAGATTCCTGGGCCCTAACCCTTCAGAATCAGAAGGTTCTGTGGTTTAACTGCTTAGTCATCAATACCTGGGACAGGGGCAGTAATCCCATGTCTTCAGCCACCACACCCTGCCCCCCAACCTCCTGTCTTTGAAGCAGAGCCTATGCGGTGGCCTTGGATGTTCAGAGCACTCCTAAGCAAAGGCCCTTGGCAAGAGGAGTGGTGGGGCCACATAAAAGGTTTCTAAAAAGAAAATGGGTAGCTTTTGGAAAGACACTGGATTAAAAAGGCTAAAGCAAGTGATTCATGCAAAGTACATGTCCACATCAGGCCTATGGACCCCTCTCCATTATTTCCCCATATAAACTGTCCAATACGTTAGTCATTAGCCTCAATGTAGCTACTAAGCACTTCAACTATGCCCAGTGCACTAAGAAACTAAATAATTCATTTTATTTTATTATGATTAATTTAAATGTAAAATTAATCATCTAGTGTTAGAAAACATGAGTATGTTTGAACAACTTAGATATATGAACTTGTTTTTCAACTGTAAATTTTAAGAAATATGAACACAGATAAAATAATTCTGATGAAAATTCAGTGTCCAAAGATCAACCTACTGTAAGTACAAAATATACACAAGACCTCAATGACTTGGTATGAGTAAAATTCAATCTCGTTTCTTATGTTCAATGAAAATTTTGAATATATTGAGATAAGTATATTATTAAAATGAATTGTATGTTTTTACATCTTTAATGTGGCTGGTAGGAAATTTTAAAATGGCAGAAGTGGCTAGCATTGTCTTTCTATTTAACAGAGAAGTTCTATTCAAGACTTTATTCATAGAGGAGCCAGCACTATGGCACAGCTGGTTAAGTTACTGTCTGCAGTGCTGGCATCCTGCATAGGCACCAGTTTGAGTCACAACTATTCCACTTTCAGTGGGAGACCTGGAGGAAGCTCTAGCTGTTGTGGTTATTTGGAGTGTGAACCAGTAGACGTAAGATCTCCCTCTCTGTCACTATTTTCTCTCTCTGTAACCCTGCTTTTCAAATAAATAAATAAATCTTTTAAAAAATATTTCATAAATTGTGAATAATGAATGTGGTGACTAAGTATTTTGAAACTATCTTGGAACATCCTTTATAGAAAGGAATGAGCATCCCTTTATAAGGTAGTCACCCCAGGGCACTATCAATTGATTCCAAGGCTGATACGATTCTGGAAATTCAGTCCTACCTGGATCTCATATTGCTATGGAGGAGACCTCAGGGCTGATGAGCCCCTTCTGAGACAAAGCCTAAGAACTTTCAAGTACCTATCTGGTGCTCCCATATCTTGCCCTCCTCTACATTCAGCAGCCTAACTTCAAATGACTTGGACTTATTTAAAAACACCTGATCCACCCCCTCCAAACAGTTTAAGAATAAGCATTAATGAGAATATTCAAAACTTTATCCCATTGGTTCTCAAAGAAGACCTAATGCTTCTGGAAATGAAGACAACAGTATCTCTCTCCAAAGGGGCCATTTTTAAGACCAACTCCCATCTTTAGGTTGAATTCTGGCATGTTCATCAATGTGACTAACAATCAGAAAATAGCATTCTTTTATAATCCTATATATAGGTCTGTCATCAATCTGAGAATGATTTTTATTGTTGTTTTCCATGTCACTGGTGTTGATTCACACCTTTAAACTTGGTTTTTAACATGTAGTCCATAGCTACCCTTCAATAAGGCCATGCTAGAATACAGAGATTCTTAACTCTGCAGGATTCCTTCTGATTTTTTCCCTACTGATCTTCAACTCCCATTTAGTATTTCATTCTATTTTAAAGGCAGGCAACAAACTTTATTACCATTCTCAGTCAGTGCCCGGACATCACCAATAATAAAAATCACAACTTTTTAAATGGAAATTGATAATTCAGTTGTTCCTGAAATATCACTTTGTGTATATCTTGTCTTTAACATTAGGAGAGTCTGATCTTAGACCTCATCACACACAGAAGTAAGTACTCTTCCTCTGCGAGTCATTCAGCCAGGACAAGTGAAAGATGCATCTTTCATCCTAGTGGCCGAATGCCTCTGACACTTTGCCATCATCCCTATCCACGTGTGTGTGATCTTAATCACTGCATGGAATCATTCATTTAAATTAGTCCTTATATTTTTGCAAAACTAGACAGTCCAAGTGAGAACTTTTAATTCTGGTAAATTGATATTACCTTTGGAAATATGACAGTCAGGTGGGCTAGACAGGGCAAATTCAATCAGAACTCATGGTTAAGCAAACCACTGAAGTGTATAACTCAAAGCAATTTATTATTGATGACCCCTTGGACAATGTTACTGGGCATGCATAATGTCGTGAGTTCTGTGAGAACCAGTTCTGTTGTTATGCCACTGTAAGCCTATGTATTTTATCAATTACATTTGAAAATACTATTCTGAGAATGGTGCACAGAATTCATCAGACTACCAAAAGGATCCATAGAGGAGGACTACCACTTAAACCCCTGTTGTTGGCAACCCTTGACACATCCACAACCTGGGTGTCCATGTGTTATTACACAAACACCCGCTGTATGTCAGGTCCACAAATGGTACTGATCCCCGGTCATAGTAGTGCTCATATTTCCTACTCCACTCACATCTGAGTAGAAAGAAGATTTCACCTTTGCTTGCAGCACAAAGAAAGGGTAGAGAAAGAAACACAGCTTTTTAAAAGAGGCAATTGGTAAAGTTGAGCATCTATTATATTTATTATTGTTTTTGGCCCTTGCTTATTTTCTTTACTTTTTATTTGAAAGGCAGAGTTGTTGAGAGAGAGAGAGTGGGAAAGAGAGGTCTTCCATTCGTTGGTTCACTCCCCAAATGTCCTCAATGGCCAGAACTACACTGATTAAAAACCAGGAGCTTCTTTTGTGTCTCCCACATGGGTCACAGGGGCCCAAGCACTTGGGCCATCTTCTACCATCTTCCCAAGTGCATTAGCAGGGAGCTGGACAGGAAGTGGAGAAGCTGAGACTAGAACCTGCAGCCATATGGGATGCTGGTTTTGCAGTCATCGGCTTTATCTGCTACACCACAACACCAGCCCTGGCTCTTGCCTATTTCCTGCTGAACTATGGCCTTTTTGCTAATTATTTGTTGAACTATGTTTACTGAAGCATTAAACTTTTGACTATAATGCAAATTAAAAATAAATTATCTCAGACCAGTGTTGTAGCTTAGTGAGAAAAGCCAACATCTACAGCACTGGCATCCCATATGGACATTCATTCAAGTCCCAGCTGTTCTACTTCTGATCCAGCTCCCTCCTAAATCACCTAGGAAAAGCAGTGGAAGACAGGCCAAGTGCTTGAGCTCCTGCACCCACATGGGAGACCCGGAAGAAGTTCCTGGTTCCTGGCTTTGGTCTGATCCAGCCACAGTTGTTGTAGCCATTTGGGGAGTGAACCAGCGGATGGAAAACCTCTCTGTCTCTCTCTCTCTGTAACTCTGCTTTTCAAATAAATAAAATAAATCTTAAAAAAGCAAACATAAATAATCTCAAAAAATAATAAAATATTAAGTTAAAAAACATTAAATAAAGAGACAACAGCACCATTTCACCACAGAAAGCCCTAGAAATTGATGGCGACTTTGGAATGTCAGAGGTTGAAAAGCAAACACCAGCTTCCTAGAAACTCAAAACATTATTGCTAACTTTTCTAGAAAAATGAGCTTTTTTTCTAGAAAAATTGACTCTTCCCCCTTAATATGAGAGGTGAATTAGTCTTACCTGTTAATAGTGAAGCTTCCCTCAGTCAGTCGAGTATGATGTGCATATCTATTTAGAAACAGCACAGCAATCTCCGTGAAAAAGAAAGCTATGTGGGGCTGACACAGTAAGTCCAGGCAGGGCAGAAGAGCTCTGTGCATAGTGGAGGCCCATGTTTCTCAGCACTGTGGTCCCAACATCCAGAAACACCCCTGGCATGAAAACAACGCTGTCTCTTTTAGAACTTTTGTTCTTTTTTTTTTTTTAACACCCAAAAGGAGATTCAGCCCACAACTTAATATTGTCAATACATGCTCTTCATTGCACAACTGGCATGCCAACTGTTACCTAAGCACTTCAGACTCCTCAAATCCCACACCCACACGTTCTAAACTCATCTGCATTCAGATATGAATAACGATGAAGAGCATCTCGAGGGAGTAGCTTCTCCATTCTCAAATGCCACAGAGCAAACTCCTGGTAGTGCCTGAGAGATTTCTTAGAACAAGAAGAATCCCAGATTCACCCCTGTGTCAGAAGAATCCCATCCTTCTATGGCAACCTGTATATGGGGATTGCAAGTTAAAAGGGATCTCAGAAGTCCCTTGCACTGTTAAGGTTCTAGGGTTCTTTCATAAAGGAAAGACTTTCTTTTTTATTTTTATAAATTCAAGTTAATTAGATTTTTGCAGGTCAGCGGTCCAATGCAGCATCTCTTTATTGAGAACAGTTCTAAGAGACCTTGACGAAATTGCAAATGCTTAGAAACTGTCACCAGCAGACATGCCAGGTAAATAGGAAAGCACTGTGACTATTTATTTTACTGCCATTATGTCTCTGTCGGGTGAGCTAGTAAAAACAGTAAAGGCTGTTAACATCGGGAAGTATATGTATATTTGTGTGGATATAACCATATACACAAGTATGTGTGTATATCCCTAAAATAATTCATTTTCCTTCATCTCAAACCACAATTTCTTGATTGCAGGAAATCCTCTATATTTGAATGAGTTGCTTTCCAGATGTTTGCTTATAAACTGGATAATTTCACTCCACTAATATATGTCCATTCATTTACTCAATAGATAGTTACTGAATGCCTACTATGTGCAAGTCTTAAAAAAAAAAAAAGCATATCTCCTCTCTCCCTTCCTCTGCACAAGATACTTTACACAGTAGCTAGGTGCCCAAAGCTAACCTATAGTAAATTCTAGTTTCAGTCAGATTAGGCTGCCATACCAAGGTGTCATAGGCTGCACCTATTTCTCATATCTGGAAAAGATACCATGACAGCAGGGTAGATCTCTAGTGCAGGCTCCCTCCTTGAGTTGCTGGTGGCTGTCTTCCCACTGTGTCCTCACACAGATCTGCCTTGGTGTGTGTGGGTGCAGAGAGGGAGGGAGGAAGCTTTCTGTTGTCTTTTCTTATAGGGGCAAAGATCCTGTCATGATGACCCCACCATCGAGACCTTGTCTAAACCTAATTACCTCCCAAAGACCCCGTATCCAAACACCATCACCATTCAGAGTATAGACATGACACCTCTTGACACTAAATGTGCTATCTCACTTACATTGTTAACTCAATAGAATGATAAGTTTCAAATGCATCTCACAAGGGCCTTGGCCCCTGCTGTTATGAGGACAGGGCCCCAGGCAGCAGCAGTGGGAGGGGACAGAGTGGCACCAGAGGACACAGGAGCTCAGGGCTTAGCAGTTGAATCAGACTGTGGCTCAGGTCAGCTCCTGAAGCAGAGGTGGTAAGACCTCTGCAGAGGAGCTGAAATCCATGCTGGATGTGCTTTTGCAAGTCAAGTGTCCTTACTTTAGGGCCCTCCTATATCTTTGAAGCTTCTTATGATGGAATCCAATCAGGCCGTACAAGCACAACCAAGAAAGATAACACAAATCAGACAACATCAAGATTCAAATTGTTTTAAGAAGGCTGAAGTTTTTGCAAAGCTGCAATTACAGAGCTCTTTTAACCAGGCCTGATGAAGCAGGCTGGGGCATGGACCTCTCCCTGCACCGAAAGCCACGATTCACGGAGCCTGGCCCTGCAACTAAAAATAATTTGACCCTTTGAGGGTTTGATCATTTCCTTAAAAACCTGACCAAAGTCAGTCTGGAATGGAATGGGATCAAAAGATGGGAAATTACTCACATGCAAGTGCAGACTTTGGCCTGAGCCTGACAAACATCTAGTGCAGCTGTTTGCTTTCAGGAATCCTTCCCACCGCACACCCCATCTCAAGGAAACACCACACACCATGTAGAGGTGAAGTGTACCCTTTCCCTGTCATCCCGAATCCATGCTGAATCTATCAGTATCTATTAGCTGGGTCTCTGACATACTGACTTCCAAAATGGAATGTCGAGCTGTTTTTAACAGAATGAAGGGAAAAAAATACACCTACATTTTCTTCCCCCATCTACTGTTAAAATTAGCAAGTCAGGTGAGGATATTCCTGTAATTCCGGGTGACTTAAAAACCATGCTTGGGCTGTACTGAGTGTATGGCTCTTTCACAGCTGCTAGAGCTTAGGGATCATTCTCTCACTTCTCTGGTCCTTTGCAAGGACTTTCATTTCCATCATTCAAAAAGCTCCCAACAGAAAGGTATGTGAACAAGAGACACACTAGCTTTTTGGGCAGAAAATAGGCTGAGAGAACTTCAGGGAATCTCACTTGTGGTCCCTCAATGAATGCCAGAATCTTATTCAAACTCAGGAATTTCAACTGCAGGTCTTAGCATTTTAAAGAAGCTTGAGAACCTAGGGCTGCACTTTTCTGTGGGAGCCTGCAGATGTGTTTGGTTTTGCCTTTCATTTTATTTATTTTTTTAAATTTAATTAACTATCATTACACATAAGGAGCTTTCATATAAAAATCTGGATTGCTGACTTTTTTAGAAAAAATTTGAAACTCAGACCTGTACTGGTGTAGGCAACAGAAAAGTAGAACTTAAAAGAGATTGCAACCGACTTCCTAGAGAATTTTTCCACAAATCAAAGCTGACCCTCTTGCTCTATTTTCTCATGCTTAGATACACAAAACACTAGCTGGCCATTCATTCTGTAACTTTCTGTGCCTGTGTTCACATAGCTTCCCCACTCCTAGGATGCCCTTGTCTGTTTTGTCAGTTTGGTGGGGATAGGTGATCATCTTTCAGGAGTTGGATCAAATGTCCTGACTCCATGAAGTCAGTACTTATATCTCTGGAATAACTCTGCAGGTTCTGTTCAGGACTCTTAACCATTTTCTTGTGCTTGTTTCATTGTGCATATGCAATCCTGGGTGCTCAGTAAACACTTAGTAATGCTTTACATAATACTAATAACAATGACTGAAGTAGAAGTTATTATGTGTGTAATGGTTTGTGTGTGTCCCCCACAAGTTTATGTGTTAGAACTTCCATTCTTCAAGGCAGCATACTGGGAGGTGGAGGCTAATGAGAGCTACTTGGATCAATGGATTGATGCTTTCTTCTTCTTTTTCTTCTTCTTTTTTTTTTTTTTTTTTTGACAGGCAGAGTGGACAGTGAGAGAGACAGAGAGAAAGGTCTTTGTTTGCCGTTGGTTCACCCTCCAATGGCCGCCGTGGCAGGCGCACCGCACTGATCCGAAGGCAGGAGCCAGGTACTTATCCTGGTCTCCCATGGGGTGCAGGGCCCAAGTACTTGGGCCATCCTCCACTGCACTCCTGGGTCACAGCAGAGAGCTGGCCTGGAAGAGGGGCAACCAGGACAGAATCTGGTGCCCCGACCAGGACTTGAACCCGGTGTGCCGGTGCCACAAGGCAGAGGATTAGCCTAGTGAGCTGCGGCGCCGGCAGGATTGATGCCTTCTTCAGGAATGGGTTAGCTATCACAGGAATTCTGAGCTCTTTTCTTTTTGCATGTGTGAGCTTGTCCTTCTGCTTTCCACCTTGAGTTGAAGCAACACCAGGCCTCCACAAAAAGCTGAGAAGTCAATGCAATGCTCATGAATTTTTAGCCTGAAGAATCATGAGTCAAATATACATTTTCTTTATAAGGTACCCAGCTCTGGGATTCTGTTATAGCAACAGAAAATGAGTTAAGACAGAAAATTGGTACTGAGTAGAGTGTGGCTATAATGATACCTGCAAATGTGAAAGCAGCATTGGAGCTGGAAAATGGGTAAAGGCTGTGGGAATTTGGAGAAGCAGGCTAGGGGAAGTCAGAATGCTACAAACAGAGCAGTAAGAGTGATCATAGTGAGGGCTCAGAAAACAAGAAGATGAAGGAAAGTTAGGAACTTCCTGGAGGTTACTTTAGAAGCTATGATCAGAATGCTGATAAGGACTGAGAAAGTCCTTCAGACAAGGTTTCAGATGGAAATGAGGCACATCTTATTGGGAATTGGAGTAAAGGCTACCCTTGTCATACAGGTGCAAAGAAATTGGCTGCATTGTGTCCATGCCCTAGGGCTTTGTGGAAAGTGGAACTTAAGAGTGATGAACTAAGATTTGTGGTGGAAGAAATATCTGGACAGCAAAACATTCATTCTACTGCATGGCTACCTCTAACTGCCTACACTGAAATGAGAGAGTAAGGAGATGACCTAAAGGCAGCATTTATAATTAAAAGGGAAGCAGAGCATAGAAATCTAGAACATTCTCATCCTGGTCATGTAAATGGTGGTAAAACGGGCAAAAGTGCAGCCAGGCAACTAGAAACTAAAGAGATCAATACAAATAAAAGTGAATCAGGTGCTATTCATCCAGACAATGGGAGAATGGTCCCAAAGGTGCTTCAGAGACCTGTGAGGGTCCCCAATCCATCACAGGCCCAGTGGTAAAGATTTCATGGGACTTACCTGGCGTTTTTCCATGAGGCTGCTGCCTTCCACAAATTCACTGCCTCCTGGATACTGCTCCCCACAATCTAACACAGTGCATCCTAGCCCTAGCTGTGACTTAAGTAACCCCAGATGTGGCTGAGGCTGCTGCTCTGCAGGGCACAAGAAGACATCTTGGTGATTGCTACATGATTCTAATCCTGCAGGGCATAAAGAATTTTCTCACAGTCACTCACTCAGTTATTAAATGGCAGAAAAATTAGAACTTCTTCTGGCTATGGATGGATGGATAGATGGATAGATGCATAGGATGAACAGTTAGAGAGGATGAAGGCAAGGACAGAAGAAGAGAAAGTCGAGGAGGGAGGAGTGAATAAATGAACTCTCGGGAATAAGAAATGTCAAATGGAAAGAGAGAGATGGAAGGTATTTTCTGCTGCAGGTACTGCAAGTCTTTTCATGGGGCCGGAGCATTGGTTTGTGCTAATATTTCTCGTAACCACCTATCTGGGGAAAGAGCCCTGCTATGAAGTGTCTACAGTGTAAATATTCCTATTATGACTGATTTGAAGCTACCAACAACATATCACTGAACACACAACTGGAGGGAGGGAATGGGCAACTGTCAACATGAGCCAGCTCCAACACTCCCAGCCATAGGAAAAGTGCTTATACAAAGGCAAGGAACAACCAGGAAGTAAAGGCTTATGGGACTGTTCTTAGGCTAGAAGCTTCCTATAGATAATGAAGAGTAACTCCCAAGTTTTTAACAGAGGGCTATGTTGTCATATAGGCAAAAAGAGTTGGACACAAGATGGGTACACAGACAACATTTTAAGAACCTCTCCATCTTTCCTATATCTGGCCTGCATGACAATTACAAAGAGAGGGATCAGTTGTTTCATCCTTTGCAACCCTGTACCTTTACCAGTCAGTGGTCTTTCCTCCATAATCCCCACTCCCACCTCGTTTGTCTAGGCTCCCAGAAGTGTGCCAGGTGTCACAGACCCTGAGGATTATACAATGCCATCTCTTATTATTGAATCTGTGGCATGTGAAGGTTCGGAGGCCTAAATGAAAGTGCAAGCCTGAAACAGCTTCAACAGGAAAGCCAGCAGATGGAGGATAAATAAAACAGTGTCTGATACATCCTTGACATCAAAGGCCAGAGAGCCAGAAGGGATTTTAAAACCATTTACTTCCCAGTCGCACTCTTCTGCAGGAGTAGAGCACAGAGCAGTTGAAGGAACCAGCCAAACATCACCATGCTGGTTAGTGCCAATGCTGGAACTATACCAGGTTGCCTGGTTCCTAGTCAAATGGTCTACAGCACATAAAGAGAGTGTTGCCTATCATGTTTCTTCTCCCTGCAAAGTCAAAGAATTTCTTAGGAGAATAGTTCCTT